GTATTTACATTTTTTTAAAGGCACAAAACATTCATTTAATCTATCTTTTAAGTAATGAAAATTAAACAAATTTGTATTTTTTGGAAAATAACATTTAATATTACAATTAAAACATTGAAGAAATATTGTATGCTTATTCCTTAAAAATAAGGTTTTAATAATTTTAGTAGTATTAGTAGCACCCTGTTACATACATTCTACTCAACAATAGTAATATATTTCTGCCAATGCCCTCAAGTTAAACCGAACTTTTATTTTGACGGGTTGCCGTGAATACTTTTACATTTCTGTGTGTATGAAATGAGGATAGTTTTATTCAAATGAAACTGTCGAATGCTCATGAAGTGACCCTCAGAGCAGTTCTGGAGATGCTGTTCGTGTATTTATGTCCTCATTAGTGAGACGGCAGAGGTTAATATCACCGGAAGCGTCACGAGCGTTTCAGTACGAGTACTAACGTACACAAAACCGCGCGTCTGCGCCATTCATTAACACAGGGACACGCAGAATTCATATTTAAATATGAATCGTTTTACGGCTTAATATTTACAAATACTAGTGGGAGTGGGCTGAGTGGGATACTCCGCTGTGCGTGATGCAGAGAGCGCGACCATAACGTAAAGACCGAAATGACATGCCATCGTGTAAATAAGATAAATAACATAAGGCTATTTAGTTTGCTTAGTAAAAGAACAAGGTATATACCTGTTCTATAGAAAAGGTAACGTTAAATGACGTCTGTTGTGATCTGGCGCTATAGAGAAAATAAAATAAAATAATTTTAATTTTAAAAATTAAAATAGCCGCCCCCTTAATATAATGGCAGGGGAAACACTGCAGAACAGTTTGTCGATCTAAAATGGTAATTGTGCATTAACAGCTGTCAACCATGGCTGCGTTTCCCAAAAGCATCGTAAGCCTAAGTTGATCGTAACTCCATAGGTGGCAATGGGTCTACAATGTACTTAGGCTTACGATGATTTTGGGAAACACAGCCCATGTCGGTACGCAAACGCGCGCTCTGAACTCATTTACACAGCGCATTTCTTATTTTGGTTGCGCATGCGGACCTGCGGACCACTTATGTGCACCCCTGTTTATAACAGTCTCCAGTGGAGGAGCTTATGGATACGTAGCCTACATTACGAATTGAAATAAACAGATGGCTTTTGATTGTAAGGAGCTGTGTAAATAATGTGGCTATTCATAACCAGTTGGCTTCAAGTTTTTCTTTGTATCATTGGTTAAGTCCAGTTAATTATGTAATAAATATATGTATATATATATTTCTAAATCTCAAGGAAACTAATTTAAGTATTTTCGTACAATGCAACTGTTGATAATGTAGTTGCTGTATTGTCTTACAAAGGTCCCTAATGTTTTGTTTACATATCCGCACAACTCAACGAGTAAATGATCAGCAGTCAAACCCAGATTCCAGCATGACCAAAAGGCGTTGATATCGCACGGTGCGCTCTTGGAGTTTCCTTCCCTGCGTGTCGGTGTGAGCGTCTCTCTCCGACGCAGCGTGGAGAGGGGCGCACTGCTGTGCCTCCCTAGACGTCAGAGAGCTGACCTACATCTCTCTCTCGAAAAAAGCTTGTGCAGCAGCCTGTGAGAATGTGTGGGGGTAGGGAGAACTTGCCAGAGCGAACTAGCAAATGAACGAGTGAGAGGGACAGGAAAGCAAATCTGCTCAAGCCAACGAACAGACGCCCACCCTGTGCAACGAGAACGGCGAGAGGGGGACCCGGGGCTCAGTGTCCCATGTCTTGTTATCAGATCATGCCTGAGCTTAACAACAACTCCGGGTTGTTTTTCAAAGCGCACGGAAACGGTGCAAGACGGACAAACTCCGCTTCCCCTTTGCATGGAAGTTTGGGCGAGGGGCAACAGTTTCTGCGAGTGCAGCATCTGCTAACTGCTTCCTTTGCCTCAGGAGTTGTATTTACAGATAGCAGAGGTGGGAGGGACAGTCTCGCCCCTAAAGTTCAGAAGTACTGGATGTTGTAACAAGCTCAGTGTGAGTGAAACATCAGTTTCTCCACGGAGAACATGTGCCACACTCTCTCCTGTTATAAACCTTGCGATTTTTGGCACCCTTTTCCACTCTCTCACTTTGAAAATTCTCAGCTGTTACTTTTTCAAATAAAGCATGCGTGCATATTTGATCTTTTTGTCTGTGGGAGGAAAAAATTTAATTAAATTTGCTATGTTAATAATTGGTATTTTAATCTTTGTTTTTTTGTGTTGCTTTAATTGTTATAAAAAATCTTTTACATTTTTTGTAACATTACATTACATTGTAATATCCCTTATAATAAAACAGTTCTAAGGATGTTTCCCCCTTAATTTATTAATTATGAGCAAACTTGTAACTGTTTTAATGAAAGTTTTATCTGTCATGGGGTTGTAAACAACACAGGTAATAAAACAACACAATGCTCAAATAGAAATCTTTCTTAATAATTGGTCCAAAGATACTCTAAAGAAGAAAAAAAGGTGCAATTATGTAAACATTCTTATATCAAGAAACATTTATTTGATAAGCAAAATGACAGGATATTGGAAATATTCAGTTGGTAAGAAAAATTAACCGTTTTCCCTTTGAATTAAGTTATTTTTTTCTTAAGCA